TATTAATAATGAAGCGAAGATTTACATTTACCACTGCCTTAAATGAGATCTTGAAATTGTCTCATTATTTCATATTTCAGTAAAACTTTTAGAAGGATTCGAATTGCAGAAATATCTATTCGATTGTGTGACTTTGGTTTGAGGGAATAATTTACTTAATTAATCTGCTCATTTCATGCAAAGCACTCTCAGAATTTAAACATGCATCTCATTTAGATTACATATCATTTCTACTTGCATTCCTACAAAGCCACTATGTGACAATGTGCTACGATATTACCATAATATGTCATAACGTTTCTCAGCTAAATACCTTAAGCTAATTCAATTCAGAGATTATTAAATATATTTTAAAAGTAATCAGTTGAAAAACGAAACAATAATTTGTTCTTTTTTTCTTGCGAACTAATAATTCTGGATGAAATTTTGATAAACTTATTGGAAAATACGGAAAAGGCAGTAAATGCTACAGTATTCTTGAGAATATATTAGAGAATCACACTGTATATCTCTGCAAAACCATGCGTACAAAATTATTTAACGCTCTCTCACAAAGATGGTATCTTCCAATTTTTTGAAATGTCTTCAACGATTTATATGGATGATAAATTTCAATATTATGACTTTGATAAGTTAGCGTTTAGTCAAAGTTGACAACTTATTGATGAAAGTTGTAAGGTAGCAAACACGAACTACGCTTTACGCATTTTTGACGACATTCGAGAGCACTCCCAAAATTGTTTCCATTGCCACCACATCCACTGTATGTGAACGCTCGACATTCTTTGGTAGCAGAATCGAAGGCAAATCTCTGGAAGACACCAGTGCAATCCCCTGGATCAATGCTGTGTTCACAGACATTGTGAAGGTCAGGAGTTGGCTTAGCTGCAAAAGAAGTAAATTTGTCAATTTTAGACACTGGAACTTAGTGCCAACTACTTTGTAAGCAAGTGTAAAAGTGTGTACGAGGTTGATGGCATGCTGCAAAGCATTCGTTACGGCTTCCAAAGTTATTTCCGTTTCCACCACATCCTGAATAGGTGAATATTTGACATGTACGTCGTTCTGCATCCCAGTGCCAACGAATGAATTGTCCAAGGCAAGTTCCCGGATCACGTTTTTGGTTACAGCGTTCTTTTGCACTTCCAATCAGAGATTCTATTGCATATAAATCACACAAATATTCTAACAACGATTGTCTAATGATTGATTATTTTTCCAAAAAATCCACAATTTACAATAAGGCATTTACAGAATAATCAACACTGACCGGCTTAACACTTTCACAATTTATAAGAGAAATAAATCAGTGATATGACTGATATGTAATCTTAAAAATCATTGCGAATATCTGAAAAATGATCGAATATACCTGACGATAAATTAGTCCTAAGAGTGACGGGTGTAGTAGAAGATTGCTGCTGATGCATATTTGTTGGATCTTCATTTTCAACATTGGTGTTGTTAATCTGATGTAGTGTTGATGATTCTGGCACTGGAATCACTGCTGCCATTTCTTCTTCTTCACTAAAATATGTTATTCATAACCAAGCAAACAGAAGCATTTAAATCTTTGTCTGAAGAAATGTCTTCAGACAAAAACTATTATTAATGGGTTAAAAAGACTAATCTTAAACCTTTTGAGTGTGTGCTTTGCAGATGTAGTTAGTGAAGATTGTTCGTTGTTTTCAGCCAAGGCATCATCAAAATCAGTAGAACTATCAGAATTCGTTGATGGTAAAGTTGTGCTCACAGGTTTGTTAGATTCATCTTCAAGAGAAATTTCGCTGCCAGGTGTTGTTGCATGAAACTTATTCTGCTTCCTTCGAAACTCATTTGTTGTTTTTTTTCTTGCAGGTAATTTCACAAATTTATCAGTATTCAGCATTATATTCTGGATATCAGTAGAAAAAATCTGCCCAACGGTAGTGCTCTCGTAGGCAAGTGTAGAAGTTGGAATTATATCCGTTTGATAACTAGTTGATAAGACATCACTTGTAAGACTTTCTAAGGCGTCAGAAGTGCTTGTATATTCCTGGCTATTCTCATCGATAGCATGCACAATCAGTTCTCGACTCTGATCTTCTTCTGTTTTTTTCAAGCTTTTTGTAGCATACTCCTTGTTAAGCTTTTTCAGCTGCGGTCCTTGAGTAATAAGTTGTGGTGCTGATACGATGGTTGTTAAAGCTGTTTTTATTCCACCTAAATACTCAAATTACATCCTACAAACACCGCAGCTACTTTTTAATTTTATTTTAGTAAGAAGCAGTCAAAAATGTTTTGTATTATAGCATTGCAAATATTTATCCTTTTTTTCTGTGCATTGCAAAAATATTCATTTATTATTAATAAATAATAACGCTATAACAAACGTTGTCGACAAGTACGTTCGCATTCTTCAACTCGTTCAAAATTATTCGCATTTCCTTCGCATCCTCCGAAAAAGAAGTACTTGCATTCGCCAAGACGTTTATTGTAATAAAATCGTAATTCATACTTATCACAAGGACCTCTTTCCTTCGGAAGCTGGCAGATTTCGTTGGCAATGTTCAGAGTTGATGATACTGTTTCTAAACAAATTACTTCCGTGCTTTATTGTGTTATTTCAATATTTAAAAGTATTTATTATTATACGGATTAAATTTAGTTAGTAATGGTAATTTTGAATGAATTTCTTACATTTTCATCTTAATGAAACGATTTATGGAACATACCATTCGAAGATTTATTAGGGCAACAAATTGAGTACGGCTGTGAAATTGAACAATAGTAACCACTAGGACATGTATTTTTGGTACAATGTAGCGGTCTACCATTTTCGGTTTTGAATGCTTGCATACCATTTTTGCATTTTGCAGAACGAACACATTGTTTCTCACATACCGATTTACTTGGATAATTATTACCATTACCGCCACAACCTGTTGAAGTATTTACCAATTGAATATACATTTTTAGTACAAAATTTGGCTAACTTTATGAAAAAGCTTCACGAAAAGTAATTTTCAAACTTTTTAAAAATCGTTTTTGCTAATTATTACGAGTTAAAATTTAGATAATTAACAATTCATTCCACATTTGGGTGAGAAAAGATTATTATAATTAGCCATTTCGGGCTAAAAGTGGTCTCCTGAAGTTCGTCCACAAATTTGAAATAAATTTTGCAAAGAAGTGAAAATTTCAAATTATAATATTATTTTAAAAATACTAGCAATTGTTTAATGTACAACATAGTAGACAGACTGTATTTG